ATCTCAGCAGCCAGAACGAATATGCTACCGCAGCGGAGCATCACAGGCGACCATGATGCGTACAGCCTGGCACTTAGAGATGCTCAGTACTTCAAGATGGTTGGTTTCTCCCTCGACACTGTCCGGGGGCGTATTCGTAAACAACAACATCCAGCCGCGAAGTTTACCAGCAAGTCACTTAAGAAATTTTGCCACAAGGTTATCGAGGAGTTGAAGGCACAGAATGCTGCACAGGAACAACAGCCAGCAGACGCTATGCCACCTGTTCCTGCATCACAGAATCTTGATTTCCCCACAGCTACAATTCAAGGGCCAAGTCACTCACCAGCTAAGAAAAAATGGTTTTTGAACTCTGATTGGGAGCCTAAATTTTCGTGGGTCAGTTAATGCCTAATTTATGTCTTACTACGTGTTAAATTCTACTTAGGCCCAGATGCATGATATTCGGATAAGTATGCCATTTCTTGGATCCGGCAGTGAAACGCATCAGTCGAGATTGGAGAAGCTTGGGCTCCCACCAGATTGGCGCCATGATGGAATGCCTGTACCAGGCCAGGAGTTTGCACGCCTCTACGAAATCCAATTACAAGAAGCACCGCTGAGATCATTTAAATCATACCAACTAGGAGGGTGCGCAGTCGAAGCGAGGTCTATAGCAGACATGTCTAGGTTACTATACCATACCATGAAAGTTGCACATCCAGAAACGAGGTATCTAAATGTACCTCTTTTCGATTTGTTGGTACGGAGGATTGCTGTACATCAAATTGCTTGCTTTGTTCGAAACAGTTCTGATCATGTAAGATGTTAAAGGCGTTTCTAAAAAAAAACTATGCGCTCTAACAAAAGTAGATTCGAATGGCTATTCCGATACGACTACGTTATGGCGTCCGCAACGATTGCAACTTAACAACACAAGATCACTTTGCGCTATGGATCCAGTTCGATAACGGTAGTCACACCATTCTACCAATTGCATTGTGGGTATCTGGCTCAAGGAACTGTTCATTAACACGCTACGGAGCCGATGCAAAGCAAATCTTCTCTGATGCGCATCGCGAGATACGAGCCTTTTTCCAGGACGCTCACTGGCCAATGATAGCTATATCAGATGTTGTCTTTACGGTAGGCAGTACGAATGTAAAAGATTTTAGTGTCTGGCAACCGAGGGTCTTCGAGGATGTGTGGTATTTCGTCTCTGCATCGAACGGAGTCCACGTACTACCTCAAACTACTTTACATTTTCTTAAGCCTTATTTAGGCTGGCAGAGATACAGGGATGCCCGGAAGCTACTCGCTAACTTTACCTCTGTCGCTCGGTATGCGTACCTCGACAAGTTACCATCGGAGCCGTTTGATATCCTATCGATCTCTAACATTCAGTTAACTAACACTCCCTGCTACCCGCCTTGTCCAACCGTGACTCCAGAAATATGGATTCTGAACGAAGAAACAGACGAGTTTGAGCTCGAGGCAGAGTTTAATGAGTTCTATACGGAGGACACCAGCAAATTGAACGATACTCATCCTGAT